TATAAAGTATATTCATTACTCGTTATTCTCTACTAATAGTTAATTAAAGAGTGTATATAATGACTAGTTTGCACATCCCTTTCAAGATTTCAAGATTTTCTAAGCTAAGGCTTATTGACATATCACATTATACACAACTACGGTGTAGTTATGCAATGAATGAAAAAGTTGGGTCGCAGGTTCCTCAACAGTCCATTACAAGACATCTATCAATATGTGTGTAGACCACCACCATTAAACTGTCATTTTGCACATTTCTTATACTACTGTATCTACATACATCTTATAAGAGTATAATACATATGTATAATATCAGTTTAATAATAAACAAATAATAAGCAAATAAGTGCTTGAACATAGTTAACATTGCAGGAAAGCAATATATATGACGTTAAGTACTTTGTCAGGCTTAATATTTATCTGTAGATACAAATGTCACTGTGTGTGCTGTGTGCTCTGCATGTGTGACCATTAAAGAGGGTTTCATCCCTCCATATGATCTTCTTCTATACCCCCAAAGCTTTTTCTTATTCAAAAGAAGACCTTAACCTAAAGTCCTCTTTAATGTTTAAATTAAGTCTTATTAGTTTGTCTGTTTTGCACATCCTCCTATTAATGTCTAATAATAAAATAATACAATTCGTGCCTTAACCACCAGGTGTCCCTTTCTATCAGCTCTGCACCGTTATGGTGTAAATACAGCCTAACTACCAATTGGATCAAACCATTCAAGGATCAAATATAAAAGTCAGCCGAATTAGTGTTGATAATGCAGGGAGACGTATTGTGTGAAAAGAAATGTAAGATGTTGTTTAATTGCTTATATATTTATGATCCACGTATGGGCATAAATATGTCTCATAATTATTTGTGTGAACATAAAAATAATTTGTGTGTAAATATGTGATTTGTAAATGTAAAACACCATCCAAAAATGCATTTAAGAGATTTGCAAACTCACAAATAAATGTGCAAGTGTAAAACGGATCTGCAAATACGCTAAATATTTTCACAAATAAAAAAAAGATCTGTGAATATCTCTTTAACATTTACAACTTTCGATCAGGCATTTGTGAATCCAATTTGTATTTGTCGAACAAAAATTCCCTTGCGGATCTCAAATATCTGCTCGTGGATCTCACATTTCTGCTTGTGGATCGTCTTTTTACACACATGGAATTTTTAGACATATTTTTCGCCGGTCTCCGCTAAAATCTACTCGTGTCACTCGGTTATTTTCGGAAACCACGTGATGGCCCGCTGATGACGACATTTCCGCATGATGGTTTGTTTAATGCTCTGTTTTTTTATTATAATGAACAGCGGAACGTTAAATGCATTCTTTATCACCATCATCATCATCATCATCATCATGTTATAGTGATACAGTTAGTTTGTGTTAGTTTATTGGTTCAATATAGTATATATCGAGCACTTTCGTTGATGTTGAAGTACAGACTATACGCCAAAATATTTAGCGTATTTGCAGATCAGTTTTACACTTGCACATTTATTTGTGAGTTTGCAAATCTTTTAAATCCATTTGTGGATGGTGTTTTACATTTACAAATCACATATTTACACACAAATTATTTTTATGTTCACACAAATAATTATGAGACATATCTATGCCCATACACGTCACGCTTTCAGTTTTGGCGGCAGTTCTTCCTGTTTGTCTAGAAGTCTTCTCAGCAGGGCTCTATAAATAGAGAACTACGGCAGATATGTAATATTTAATGCAGCCGAACCGTGTATTACAATGCCGTTATGTTGAGGTTTAGGATGGCATCTTCTTCTTACTTTGCACTCGGAGAGAAATATTGGATACGGAGACGACCATCCTAAACCTCAACATAACGGCATTGTAATACACGGTTCGGCTGCATNGTGTGTGTGTGTGTGTGTGTGTGTGTGTGTGTGTGTGTGTGTGTGTGTGCACGTGTTGAAGGATAGATGGGCACCTTTGTACTGAGTAACCTTACGGTTAATTCCACAGTGTATGATTTTTGTCCAAGTAGTAGCAAAGTGTAAGCAGTAGCAAATGCTACCCCGAATGTCGGTTGTTATTGTCAATATTAATATAATAATGATTTATTTTTTAATAGTCACACTCGATTTCGCCGATTTTCTTGTTGCCCCAGCTGGTCGACACCTCTTTAAGCAGAAACAAAGGCTACATTCATGTATTAAATCAATGTTAATCCATGTGTGTGGATGTGGAATTAACGGACGTGACGTCGTGCGATTACGTTGCCAGGCAACAGCTTCGGTTCATGTTAATTTACAAACTCTTCAACTAGAACCGTAGTTATATTTAAAAACATTTTAGAAGGCCTCACGAAATACTTTAATGTAAATTTAAATTGAAATGTGAAGGAATGTGTGTATACAAAATACATTCTTCATAAAAAATACCGGAAACAGACGTAGGCAAGGTCCTCAGCTTGGTGATTCGATGGTTTAGCCGCAATACACGTTGGGAAATGGTGTTTATGCGATGTGAAATCCGAAACATTTTTTTAAAATAAAATAATACTTTAATCCGAATGTACTTGCTTTTCTCTTTGGAAGTCATCACATAACGGCATTGTAATACACGGTTCGGCTGCATTAAATATTACACATCTGCCGTAGTTCTTTATTTATAGAGCCTTGATTAGAAAACTTCTAGACAAACTGGAAGAATTGCCACCAAAACTGAATATGTGACGTGGATCATAAATATATCAGTAATTAAACAACATCTTCAATTTTTCTTCCCACAATACGTCTCCTTGCATTATCAACACTAATTCGGCTGACTTTTATATTTGATCCAATTGGTAGATAGGTTATATTTACACCATAACGGTGCACAGCTGATAGAAAAGGACTTGTAGTTTTTAAAGATATTACTGATTTGCTTTGAATATAAGAATGTAAATGCTGAGTTGAGAGAATAGTCAGGGGTTTTGGGCTATGGGAGACACATCTATGGATTCAGAATTTCAATAGCTTACCGTTAAATGACGGATATACCTTTCTCTCTGTGATGTTTTATAAATCAGATATTAATGTGTAGAACTACAATATGTGAAATAATTAGGGATGTCAGTCGATTAAAATATTTAATCGCGATTATTCGCATGATTGTCCATAGTTAATCGCGATTAATCGCAAATTAATTTTATTAATATTAGATAATATACATTTTTTAATAAATGTTTTATCTGTTCTAAATGTACCTTAGAGGAATATTTTTCAAGCTTTTAATACTCTTATCAACATATGAGTGGACAAATATGCTTTATGCAAATGTTTATTATCATTTTAACAATGACAAATATTCTCA